GAAAGATTTATTATTTGTGTAAGTGAAGGGGCAATCTCATTTGCACATTCTTTTAAAATCCGTCCAGGAATTTGATCAGGTCCACTAGCTTTTGAAGGATTAATGGCCTTCAATACAGACAAGATATCTTCAACAGTAACATGTAAATTATGCAATTCGTCAACTCGAGGATGAAACACATCATGATTTATCTCTGTTCCATGGTCAGATTTTTGAAAAACGGACGCAAAAAATTTGTTGAACATGTCCGCTTTAGCAGAAGGCGTTGAGGCTTTCTCCCCACTGAGATGAACAATTTTTGGTATCCTGGCTGTTTTTGTTGTGGCTCTGTAAAATGACCAAAACTTACTAGGATTATCCTTTAACTCATCCTGCATAGTTGCGAGATGTTCACGATATTTCTTTTTAGTCAACGTTTTTAGCTGTTTACGAATAGTTCTGTAATTTTCCCAATCACTTGTTAAGTTAGATTTTTTAGCTTTTTTCCACATTCTGTTCTTACACTTGGAGAGATTGATAACATCTCCATCTATCCATTTTGGAGCCTTTGCATCTCTAACCTTACATTTTGGGATAAACATTTCAGCGGTAGTAAGAAATACATCTTTCCATTTTTCCCAACATTGGTCGATATCTTCACAGTCGAGTAGCATTTCAAATGGTGTGTGCGCAAGAGTTTCTCTTAACCCATCGAAATCAGCCTTTTTAAAATTATACACAGAACGTGAAAATTTTGTTCGCTTCACAGTTGTCTTAAGGAAAAATGAAATTCCAAGATGATCGGTATTCAGTTGACAATCGAATGTTGAAAGACCGTAAAGCTGATCCGGCAGATTTGTAAAAACTAAATCCAAAATGTTGCTTGTTGAGTCAGAAACCCTTGTCGGAGAATAATTCATCTGACTCAAAAAAGCATCGTTTATCATGTCGCAGAAAATATTGGGTAAGTTGTCACACCCAGGTGCTACTTGCAGTTCCCAATCAATTTCAGGAAAATTAAAATCGCCACATAATATAACAGGAGTACCGTCTCTCACAATATTCTCGAGGGAATTACCAAAATTCATTAAATATTCATTTTTGCTCGAGGGAGGTCTATAGAAACCGCATATAATTAGCTTCATACCTTTGGAAATATGTATTTCACACACCACAATTTCACAATTCGATTCTAGCTCTTTGCGTCGTTTAGATTCAATCTCATTTTTTATTGCAATTAATACCCCTCCGCCTCTTTTGCCATCTTGTCTGTCACAGCGATATATATCATAGCCATTCGGTAATATTTCTTTATTTAGCACCGAGGGAGTCAGCCAGGACTCGCTCACAACAACAACGTCACAATCGCTCGTGTACACCATTGACTGAAAGTCGCGAAGTTTGTTGTTTAGACTTCGAGCATTGATTGTTAAGACCAATAAAGTGTGCCGACCTTTACCCGAACGTCTGGGATTGGATACTGGTCCTGGATGTGGATGAATATCGCCACTTAATTCAAGAACCAATATACAACCATCACACAGACTTCACGGACTATTGCCAAAGAAACTGAGTGACATCAGGGAAAGAGAGACTAGGACAAATGGTGAAAAGATTTATAACTTTTTTTGCAACACTGAACGTTTTAGAAACAGCCCTGTAGTTCATGCTATTAATGAATATAATTTTAAATTAGAAAAGTAAGATTTATATACATTTTTATACAATTCCATATATATATATATATATATATATATATATATATATATATATATATATATATATATATATATATATATATATATATATATATATATATATATATATATATAAACGATTTTAATATACATATAGGTCCATTGATGTAAATAGTTTTAAATAAGTAATAATTTTAATTAATTCTAATTAATATCTGACGATGTAAACACGTTGTAATTTAGCTTGCTATTGAACGTGTATTAATAAACCCACTAACCCACTATTATAAAAACATTGAACTTTCTCGGTAAAAACATTGAACTTTGCCATGAGAATAGACAATACTTTACTGCGACCGTTCATCCTCAGTGCATTCAGTAAATGAGTCCGCCTTTTACAAATCGCAGCCCGCGATTTGTAAAACACGGACTCAGTCCGCGTTTTACAAATCTTAGTTCGTGATTTGTAAAACACGGACTCAGTCCGTGTTTTCCCGGTCCAGTCCAGTCCAGTCCAGTCCGTCTTTTACAACATGCCGTTCGTGACTGAGTTGTGGTCTTACATAACTTACAATTGTAAGGTAGAATACCCTTAGACCCCCCCTACTATTACATACGGCACCATACTAAACTTTTTGTCGGGGCTTTGTCCCCCAGTTATATAGTTTTAAAACCCCCTGCTTTTTAATTTACGATAGGGAAGCTGGACGCCAGAGTCCAGATTCAGGTCGACCTTAAATGTTATACCATGAATTCTTAGCGGAAAGGGGTTTACCCGCGGCCTAATATAAGCTACAATCCTGGCAAAAACTAATGAAACATGACCCAGTTTGATTAACAATTTAATTTATTCCTCTCCCCTTCCAATGTTGATTAATATGAGCAAGTAAATCTACATCGATGAACTATTGTACACAATTTTTTAGAATCTATGTCCAACATTGTGCAGGGGGGAGGGGATTTTGTCTGTTTTATTGATTTTTTATAGGTGTTTCATTAACTTTTTGCCAAGATTCTCTGAAAAAGCCTTAAATACAAACATTTCCCCCTGACAGTTATTTACGGTAACGATGCTGGTTTTGAAATATAGTTTAGCAGAATGTATAATTAAACCAACTTTCGAATAGGGTGAATTAATATTTGGGTGCCATGGAAACCATTATATATATTATATATATATAACTACAGTCGGTACCGTTTCGGCCTTTTGGGCCTCATCAGTGTAGTGCCCATAGATATCTTATATACACTAGATAGTGCATGCATCTGATTCTGCAATTCAAAAATTGAACCCGTGATTGCAGACTCAGGATATTCCCATGAAATGAGAAGACTCGTATGTTTTCTATTTCTTAAACAGGGAACTTAATTAAACATTAAGTTAAACCTATTCAAAATACATTTTCAAACTATTCAAATGATGAAAGTAAGAACTGTTATTGTTGGGGTTTTTTTAAGCGTTTATTAGCGAGTAGGAAACTCCAATATGGCCGCCATCTATTCAAATGGGGGTAACCGCTGGAAATGCTGGAATATTATTGGCTTCAATTTTACTAAATTAAAAGAGATGCGCTATCTAGTGTATATAAGATATCTATGGTAGAACTAGTATTAATAGTTACCTTTGATGCCTCACGAATGTGGGACATCAAACCATGCCAGAGTGCTCAAATTCAAGCAGTGAGCATGTGCACGTGCACAATAGTGCAGTGCCTCAACGATGAAAGTAACTAGTATTAATAGTTACCAATTTGATGCCTCACGAACGTGGGACATCAAACCATGCCAGAGTGCTCAAACTGCAAGCAGCGAGCGTGCGCACAATGCGTAAGCGGCAATGGCTCATTCGTAGATGACTATAGACAAAGTGATTTAGGACGAAAATTAGACGGAATTCTTGCATTTCAATATATCTATATTTTGTTTAACTTAGCTCAAGTGTTGGTAAACATGTTTCTAGTTAGAAATATATTCATAAATATAGGTAATTATAGAGATAACGGAAACAACGATTTTAACATGTTTGACACGGTTGACCCTAACGGTTGACAAGATGATTATAAGACATTAATATGAATTTTGCAACGGTTGACGGTTGACAGCATTGATAAAAAAGATTATATTAAATATTACTTTTTTATTACTCTCAAACTGTCAACCGTTGTTCATCCTAAAATGCAGGGTATATAGCTAAAATGGAGTGTCAAGTGCTGATGTCAACCGTGTGTCAACCGTTGCTTTATATCATGAAAACATTAAAGTCGGTACTTATATTGTTTTAACGGGAGACACTGATCATACTTTAGTGGAAATTGTATTCAAGTCGTCCAGCATAATAACATGAGTTTTCAGTTTTAAACTATAACTACAATCCTGATTGCTCCTTAAAATATCCTTTCTCGTACCCAGGCTACATGCACGTTCTGTAGGTGTCAGAAGTAATATTAAAACATTATTGCTTTACTAAACATGTAACTATATAAACTGGAAATTCAACATAATTTTGGTGTAAAATACTGTACGTATTAAGGCATTTCGTAAATTTGCAAAATCAGACAATCCTGGCAAAAACTAATGAAACACCCAGTTTGATTAACAATTTAATTTATTTATTCTTCCCCCCTTCCCCCCTTCCAATGTTGATTAAGATGAGCAAGAAACTTACACATAGTGCCCTCTGCCATCGATGAACTATTATACACAATTATTTAGAATCTATGTCCAACATTGTGCAGGGGGGATTGCCAAGATTGTAGCTCCAAAAACTTTATCGCTTAATGAGTGAATGCATACGAATTGTTGCAATTATGCGAAAGGAACACTGCAACGAATTGAAAGCAAGTTATAGTATATCAACATGTACCTTGGCTGTCTGATATTTCAATAGGGACCTAAGGTGTAACCACGGTCAATATTAGGAAGGCTGAAATACACGGTGCCACGTTCCAGGTCTGCATGACTGACATGATTTCGAACCTTCCTCCTAAACATAAGTCAGCCGGTGGGACCGGTGTGTTTGAGATTGAACCTCTGAGATTGAACGCACCTCTTCGTAGCCAATGAAACATTTCTGTCAAACTGTGAGCTTGAACCGGCTATCTTTAAAACAGGGAATGGGGAATCGGGGAATCCGGGAATCTGGGAATCCAGAACTGATAGACGGGGACATTAAAGTGCTTGTTGGAAAACGCATTCGCTACTGTATACCATGCGAATCAGTTGTCTTAAATAACTTATGCTTATGATATATTGTAGATTATAACAGCGCTGTGCACATATGTGATTTTAATAACATATAATTTTATTAATTAGACATTATAGCGTCTATAGAATTTTGTTCCAACGCGCAAGTTTTTTGAATTAATAGACTGTAAAATGCATGCATCTTACAGGAAACGGGATAACATTAAACTAAAGCCCACGCTTTATACGTTAAATATTAAAGCCAAAGTGGCGCAAGTCGACGGCGGCTACGCGGGTACTCGCCGACACGGATACTTTGTAGTCCCAAATTACTTACAGTACTTTAAAATTAACATATTTTTTATTATTTTTTAACAACTAAAAATCGCACAGATTTGGTTTAAGCAGATGTTGGAGTTTTTAAACTCCACAGTAATGTCTTATAGTATCCGTGAATGAAAACCGTACGGTGTCGCCGCCGAATTGCGCCTCATTCGCTTAGTTAATATTTAACATATAAAGCGTGGGCTTTTAGTGTTACCCGTTTCCTGTATGGCGATGCATTTGGCAGTCTATTAACCCAAAAAACTTGCGCGTTGGAGCAACGATTCTATAGACGCTAGTGTCTAATTGAAATAATAAAATATAATTATTTGTTATTATTAATAAATTCACATATGTGCACAGCGCTGTACATAATATATAATTTCTCAAAACATAAGCTATATAGTAAGACTACTGCCCCGCAGTGTATACTGTATGTTCATCCAAAACAAAGTAGCAAATGCGTTTTCCAACAAGCACACTAATATCCCTGTCTTATCAGTTCTGGACTGTTTCCCGGATTCCCCATTCCCGGAGACCTGATTCCCGGATTCCCCATTCCCTGTTTTAAAGATAGCCGCTTGAACCTTCAGAAACACAAACGGAAATACAGTATCAACAAATATCAGAACATACATAACTATTTTTTGGCGTTACAAAACAAATGAAATTAACTTTAATTGTCCATGCATGCATGTAATGCAGAAATATCGGGCGTATTTCAAGCCTAGCTCTTTCCGTTATGATAGTATAGTAACTTTCAATTTAAGGGTGCATGTAATATTTGTATGTACGTAATAGGGTGCATGCAATTTCTGATCTTGAGTTGAGGAAGGGGGAATGAAGATTACAAGTAACATATGAGCAATTTCACAACAGTTTTTGCTTGGGGTTGCAAGCTGGAGTCAAGCTATACAATTTAGATGAAATTCGTCTGTGAAGAAGAGCTGAAAGAAGTTGGAACACAGTGAATACTAACTGTCATCAAACCTCCCAAGATAAGATAACTCGATTCTCGGTAAAACATCTATTTAATTCCATGCCTTATGGCCACAGTCTTTTGTGGTTCATTTGGTAGAGCACCGCACCGGAATCACATAGCCGCGGGTTCAGCGGTGCCGTGGGACCCATGTTTTTTGGGGGGCCAAGGGCAGTACCTTTCCGACAAACCGAAACTTTTTTCCGACAAACCAAAAATTTTTCCGCGCGACAACATTTTAAATCTTCAACCCCCCAATCGACAACTTTGACAATTTCCGACAACATTGACAATTTTCCGACGGGTCTCAACAATAGGGGGGGGGGCATGGCCCCTCTTGCTCCCCCCCGGCCACGGCGCCACTGCGCGGGTTCGATTCCTGGCAGAAGCTATGTATATATACTGTTGAATCTTTCAGGTCTGGAAATTGTATGTTTCAGATCATTCATTCGACGTTAATTAATTCCATCAACAAAATCCCATCAGCAAGTTATTGCATGCACAGTACGTCTAGGTATATACAGCCATACGTGCATGCATGGGATAAGGTTTTTCTGGTCTGCGATTTATTGTGTATAACAATAAAATTTAATTTCAACTATTATTCAAAATGTCAGTATGTGATCACAACACTCGTCGACAACAACGGAGTTCAACGGAGTTGAAGAGTACTCAGATATAATCTACTGGACTGGCCGACAAGAACCGTTTCACTCTTCCCTTTTACGTTGCTCCCAGGGACGCCGGAACTGGGGGGGCAGGGGGGGGCGGCTGCCCCCCTTGCCTTTTGCTAGGGGGGGCAGGGGGGGGCAGAAGTGCCCTTTTAGTTGTAAAATAATACGTGATAAATCACATTTCTAACGATGCTTTTTGTAGGAAAATCACGAGATTCAGGTAATTTATAGTTTATATATATAAAAATTTTGGGAAATTTTTGGAATTTAGAAAAATATTTTGAAGAAATGGCGGAAATTTAAGGGAAAATTTAAGCGAAAATTTTTGGCTTCACGGAAAATTTTTGTATGTCCGGAAAAAAATTTTGACCCCTAAAATGGTACACTGACCGAAATGTTTTTGCAGTGAAAAAAACTTTTTCAGTAAAGGTGCCCTTGGTGTGTGTCCGCCCCCTTTGCCCTATTATCGTTCCGGCGTCCCTGGTTGCTCCATCTCTATTTCGTCTTCAAATCGATTAAGAATTAAACTAGGATTTATGATATACTTGGTTTAGTAACATAATATATTAATACACAGTTATTAATTTATTAGTTACTACTATTTTGTTCCAAATACTATTCTTCTCTATCCACATCAGTTTTATTGCAGTCAGTGTCCGAGCTATTAATACATGACCAACATGGGGCACTGGTACCGACCGTTTTTGCCTATAAAATGGTACGAAGTTACAGTATAGACCATATCCCACAGTTTCTATCTCATTACAAGCTCCTCCGTCGGCATTTTATTTGTTACCCAGGCGTAAACATGCGTTTTCGACAGCCATACACTTACAAAAAAAGTTATTTGCATGCCACGTACTACATGATTTGTAAAAAGTGGGACAGCGAATTTTGACACGAAAGGCATTGTTGCCGGAAATTTTTAATATGATGATGGTACAAACACTACTTCTTCCAAAGGCTTTTTATGCTTTGTTTTCAACCAACCAACGTTCAATCAATCAATCAATCAACAAAAGTAACACAATCAAGCAAGGCTATATAAGGCACAGTGGACATACAACCCAAAATTACGAAATAATGGACCATTTGCATTATAGACTAAATTTTGATCTAGACAAAAATTTCATCACAGCTTGAAAGAGCATCACAAAATTAGTAATATTCCAAAGTTTCGTTGGGAAATGTTGTAAAATGTGGATAATATAGCCATGCGAAGTTTGCCGTTTTTCAGTCATTTTGTATTACGCACGCGAAATTGACAGCCCAATCGGGTGTTGGGGCATCAATTTTCCGTTTGTAATCTAAAATGACTGAAAATTGCAATCTTTGCAAGGCTATATTTTCTGCATTTTACATCATTTCGCAACGAAACTTTGGAATATTACTAATTTTGTGATGCTCTTTCAAGCTCCGATGAAATATTTGTCTAGATCAAAATTTAGTCTATAATGCAAATGTCCATTGGAATTAGTGGCATTAGCAAATTAGCATCGATCATGTAATGATTCATTGTTGGTTGTTTTCGGTTTATACCTGTTTATTTGTAATTTGAAACTAGTATATTTGTAATCATATAATTGTGCACCTTAAATAAAAAAGAAAATGCAAAAGTGTTTACACTATCACCTGCTAATACCTGTGGAAGAAGTTAAAATTTTCAAAACCGACTTCTTGTTCTTTTTTAACCCAGCTTGTGTTAACTCCAACCCATTGCTTTAATGGCACTTTTGAGTGATGTACAGGAATGTTACAGTAGGTACTCAGGGTAAGTAAAACATTTTCGTCTATCTTGACATATTTCGTGAATTTCGTGCTGAGAATAAGCATATTGGCCATGATGTAATTTTGCCTGATTCTCTGTTGATCTATATTAATATTTCAACTATAAGTAGAAGTTTATAAATTAACGTTTTAGCTTTCTTTCGTTGCTCCAGTTTACCTCGTTTAGGGGTGTTTGTATTCCGAGTAATGAGTAATGAGTAATGAATTTTCGTACTTGCGTTGGAAAGATAAACCATGAAAACATCACTGCAGTGATTCCACTCGATCACTCCTTGCCGTGAATAGTTATAATGCTGTAATAGTGTCAGTTTAAACTGTATGGTATCATAGATAGTATGATCAAATATGGCCATAATTTCGCTTATAGCATACTCGTTTTTAGTACGTCAAATATTAACCAGTTCAGCCTTCAAAACGTTTGTCTCCAAGTTGAATAACATGTTCGCAATAGTAGAATTACAAGTAAACACTAATATAGCGGTCGACAAAAATTCGAATTATACTAGGGCTGTTCCAGCCTGCAGGTATAATTTAGGTTATATGAGGGAACGAAGGGAGAAATATATGAGAATACTAGCGGTATGGCATTACCAATCTGTGCTTCACATCACATTTTAACCCAAAGAAATCTCTGGCAAAAACCCCAACACCCCCCTGATCTGACCCGTCCCATAATCCTCCTGTGGCTTATTTAACCCTGAGATGAACTGGGCGGGTATAAGGGTGGGAATCATATATTTCTCCCTTCGTTCCCTCATATAACCTAAATTATACCTGCAGGCTGGAACAGCCCTAGTATAATTCGAATTATATTTCGGGAACTCCGGTCGAAATATATGAGAATACTAGCGGTAGAGTTTAACACTACAATGGTGAACCGCCAAAAAGAACTTTATTATTTAGCTCTGTAGATACAATAAGTCTAAAGACCTGTTTACAATTAGTTTAACCCAACACGACCAAAGTTTGGTGTTGATACCATTGGTCTATAATAAAATTGTTTCGGTGAGGTACATAATAAATGAAAGACACAACTTAGGTTGGTCCTTCATAATTCTTCTAAATTCAACCGTCATTGAGATGTAATGTTGGAAACAAGCTATCAGACATAACCTTTTGTCATCTGGGAAACAAGTATAAAACGAGTTCTCTTTGTAGTCAACAAGGTGAACGTTAGGGATCTGGGTTTTGGAGGTCGATTGTTTAGAACACCTCTCATCAGGTTAACAACATATGGATGTTGTCCGACTAGATAACCGTCGATTCGTGGATGGGTTGATGACAAAGCCGATCTCAGAACATTCATGGTTCTATATTCCAAACCGGAGGCGAGTGAGTCCGCCAAAAAGGTAAGGACGTTGCTCAAAAAGTTGATGAAATTGGATTAATTTGCCTTGTAGAACACCAGCGGCTCCAACGCTGCCAATTAGATTCGTAGGTTTTGCGTGCGGAACTACGAGTGGCTGAAAATGAGTAGTTTGCTAACGTTCGAGATGTGAAATACGCCCAAATGTAGACGTGGGTACATCGGTGAATTAAGGAAGGGTCGGTTGGATCCTTCAAGAGATGTTTGCTGTTTGGTAGCAGGACAGGTTAATTAATGTTGTACCAGAAGACTTAGTAGAAGAGGCCACCAACGCTGAGCTTGCCAAATTGGAGCTATCAAGAAGATCTCTGTCTGGTCCGACAAGACCTTTTGAGGACCATGGGGACCAAGTTGAAGGGAGGGAAAGCATAACCCGCAAGTCCCTTCCAGCTCACCGTGAAGGCATCCCAATGGTGAGCCTCCAGAAACTGCCTGGATTCGAGGTCTGCTTGAATGTCGATCTTCCCTGGAAGGTGGTGGGCTATGACAAATAAGTCTCTCTGCTTGTGCCAACCCACAGTTATAATGTCAGCTCTAGTAATAGCAACGGGTGGTGCCCCCTTTGTGATTTATGTAAGTAAACGCGGTGGAATTGTCCATGTTCAATGACACTGTCATTGAACGATAGTTATGTTCAGTGACACTGTCATTGAACGATAGTTTTTCAAGAGAGTCTTCAGGCTTAGAAAAAACAGCTTTCAGTTCGAGAATATTGATGTGTAACAACTTCTCGGTTTGATAAATGCTGGTGACTGCCCCACCTCTGTTTCGAGGCATCGGAAAAATTGTTACATCCGGGGGAGGCACCGTAATTGGGCTGCCATTGATTGTCATAATATTCTGAAACTACCATTGGATTTCAGTTTTCTGTTTGCATGGAAGTTGAATTTTCGTAATTGTGATCTGAAGTGTGCAGGTTGCGAATAAGCAAAGCTTGAAGAAAACGAAAGTGAAAAGGAGCCTTCCAGATTGCCGGACGATAAGATTTTAGTAACCCCAACAGTTGAGCTATGCTCCTTAATGCAGGTTTCTCGATTTTCAGGATTTGACAACACAATGTTCGTCGTTTCTGCTTTGAACTGATACGTTTTGGTTTTCCAGCAGGACCGAAAGATATGCCTCCTTTAGGCCCAATTTTGTCATGTAGTACCCCTGTTGTAGGCAGGTTTTTATCAAGGAAAGATGTTCCATCTGGAAATGTTATGTTTCTATGTATTGATTCAGTGAGCTTAGATCTATAACCGATCTCATACCACCGTCCTTCTTGGGGACTTGGCAAAGGGGACTTTGCAAATTGCCCCCTTCGTTAACAGGACTGACACCTCCTTGTACATAAATAGGTGTTTCTGACTCTGAACGGACCTGAGTCATTTATTTTTTTTTTTTGTTCAACAGGAACGCAACGAAAAGGAATTTTGAAACCGGCAACAACATCTAGAATAAATGGGTCTGCTGTCAGAACCTGCCACTGTTCGAAGTGGTGTGGTAATTTGGGGGCCGTTGGAAACGAGACTGGGGAGTACGAGAAAACTGACCCCTGTTGTTTTGAGTATTGTATTTAGTAGACTGAGAGAAACTTCTGCTTGGTTGTTTCGGGTCTTGGTTATAAATTTTGGGGGCCGTAGGAGCCAGATTTTTTGCTAAACCCCGTGATAGCTCGGCTTCCTTAGATGCAATTGAGAGAAAAACGTCTCCAAATAGCCATCGTTGAGCGTTTGGCAATGGCTGGTTTGCCAAATCAATTTTTGATTTGTTAATGGATGCAAGTACCTTCTTGCGGCGGAGTACCGATAATTGTGAGTTAGCCGAACCAACTAAACAAAGGGATTGTTCAACAAGCAACTTGAGCTCAGTAGGGCTAACAGGAAGGTTGTTTTCTAAACGGTCATGTAATGTGCTTAATGGGCCTGTGATGTTCAACATAGCACGTTGAACAACAGCGAGCTCTTTATCTCGCTCCTGCACAAACTTTTGGTGGATCTAGAGTAGGAGCAACGAGGGAATCTACCTGAGGAATAGCTTGTTCCTCCAAAATATCACAAATGTGATCAAAGGATAGTTTCCTTCGAAAATTTTTCTCTAAAAAATCCTTAAACTCCTGAGATGGAGACCACGAGGTCGTAACAGCTTTGGGGTCGTATAAACCTGGCTGACCTTCGCTAGCGTTGCTGAGTTCAACTGATTGTTGTTTTGAAGGATCAATTCTGTCGCCACAAATATCATCGCTAGTGTTTAGTTGTACGGCAGAGTTTGGTGGCTTAATAGCCTGCTCTGATGGCTCAATAGCCTGCTCTGGTGGCTCAATAGCCAAATCCTCAAAATTTTCAGGATTGTCATTTCCCGCCAAAATCGAAAGCGTGTCGCCGTCCCGGCAAGGCTCTGGTTGTTTTTCTGAGTGAGAATGTGTCATATTCTCGCTAGTAAAGACATCTTCGAGCTGGGAAATTCTTCTATTACACACCTCCATGTTAGATTTAAGATCTGAAACTGTAGATGAGATGGCCCGAAGCTGGAGAAGCATTTCTTCGTCAATTTTGGCATGGTCTGACTGCTCTGTTGAGCTTGAAGACTTTTTAGACTTCGAAGAGCGATGTGTAGAATCGCGTGAATGAGATCTTTTTCGCTTGTGGTGACTCGACATTGTCTAAAAATATGCCTGAGTGTCTAAAACATATGAAAAACAATAGGAAAAAGCGTCAAAAAGCAAATATTTTAGCCTACCTGAAGCTTACCTGTTTGCGTGTGAAGCACAAGGTAAAAAAGCCACAGGAGGATTATGGGACGGGTCAGATCAGGGGGGTGTTGGGGTTTTTGCCAGAGATTTCTTTGGGTTAAAATGTGATGTGAAGCACAGATTGGTAATACCATACCGCTAGTATTCTCATATATTTCGACCGGAGTTCCCGAAATATAATCGATTTAAAGAGTAATATCTTGGTTTTATAAACTGAAAACTTAGTTATCGACATTTCACTTGGGAAAAACCTGAATTTAGCCGAACAAAATGAAAGTGTTTTCGAGCTTAAAAACGTTTGGACGTCAATTGCGGATTTTATACTGGCTGCATGACCGCAGATAGCAAAACAAATATGGCGACCGAACTGAATTTATCATAAAACCAACCTTTATACGACAGCGCTTGTATTCTACAGTATACTATTGCGAACATGTTGTTCAACTTTGAGACGATCGTTTTGAAGGCTGAACTGAACTGGTTAATATGTGGCATGCTAAAAACGAGTATGCTATAAGCGAAATTTATATGGCCATATTTGATCATACCAGTTTAAACTGCTGACATCGTCACAGCATTATAATTATTCACGGCAGTGAAAGAGTGTGCGGAATCACTGTCAACGTTTTCATGGTTTATCTTTCCAAAGCAAGTAGGAAAATTCATTACTCGTTACTCATTACTCATTACTCATTACTCATTACTCGGAATACAAACACCCCTCGTTTAGCTACTAAATTTTAAAATTTCAAGTTCCTGTTTGGATAGGCTACTCCACATTTCTTATCTCGGGTCTGAGCTAACGACTAATGGCATGTTTTCGTAAATTGTAAACGTTTTGGAGAAAATAGCTATATCATTTCATTTTCACTATTGATTAAGGTTTGGCCAATTGGTCAAAATAATGAAATCTTTTAATTTTCTTTCTGGCGTCTCTTAAAATGATTATTTACAAAATCATCATCAGTGAAATGGAAAACTATATATTTGATATTCAATTAGTTGAATTTTGCCAAAATAAGAGTTTAAGATGATATAAGTCGGCAATTTGGCGTTAATATTTAACAAATATAAAACATTTTCCGTGTTGATATACAGTTATATCAACACGAGTGGAAATTGGGAAAACGAGAAATTGTGTGCAAACACGACGCCCGAAGGACGGAGTGTTTTCACACAATTTTGAGTTTTCCCAATTTCCACGAGTGTTGATATAACTGTATGTCAATACGGAAAAAATGTTTTATATTTGTTTTATAATATAGCAGAAAGAAACATAAAGAAAGAAATTTTCCGAAGTTTCCGGCTGTGTTGATATTGAGTTATATCAACACGGCTCTTAGCCAATCAACGTTCAGAATTTACAAATGCTACATTATAATAGCATATCTAATTATTCTAATATTCTAATTCATTATCCTATCAATTCATTTTTGATAATATGATTATTATTAAATAGTCCAAATTATTTTTAAAGCATATAGTAATACTACCGAAAATAACATAACGCTTTTTGCACAGGATTTAGTTCAACTTGGTATATATAGACACATTCTGTAGTACTCGTTTTCAAACAGTTAATTCACTGCAGTCTAAATACTGCCAACTAACATTTTAGAGTATCATCATTAGTTAATTAAACAGGCAAATATCGTTAAGATGTTGATACGCAAATTTATTTTTATTATTAGAGGCATTCATAAAGTCGACACTAAAACACTTTCAATTAATTCGTCGTGCCTTGAAAATGCGAGGCAGAGCCATGAAATGGCATGACTTTGTGTTTATGTTTCAGTTAACGTCACATACTGTCGGCGATTGCGTGCATGTACTTGCGCAATTGCTCGAATTCTGTTTCTAACTTAATCATGCTCTTTCTTCTTCCATTTGTTAGCCGCTATGTACGTGCACAGAAAATGTCAAAATAAGAAAACGAGGAAATGTTATGGAGTGTATGGAAACAACATAAACGCCTGTTAAATCTGCCATCGATCGTCAGCCAATGATGCATCATGAAAAAGTTCACCCAAAAGACAGAGCTAATTTTATCTCTAGAGTTCTACTTTGGTGGATTGTTGATCTGTTGTGGAGGGGAAACAAAAATCCGCTGAATCAAGAAGATCTCGATCCAGTCAGAGAAGACGACAGTGCTGCTCGTCAGACAAATCGTTTGGGGGAAATTTGGAATAATGAAAAAATCTCAGCAAGACAAAAGAAGAGAAAACCAAAATTTTGGAAAGCAATGATAAAGTTTTTCACGTGGCAAGAACATGCACTTGTTTATTTTTTAATGCTTTTCAACGTCTTTGGAAATGCAGTATTTTTTTATTCTGTTACGAACTTGATGAAAGCAATCGGTAGCAATTTAGAGCAAGGTACCCATTCTCCAAAGGAATATCTTATCTTTATTGGGGGTATGATGATAGGATCACTTTGTGAGGTTCTTGGTTCCCAGCATTCCTGTCTGCTTCTACCTATGTTAGGAATAAAAGCAAGAGCTGCACTTGTTGGTTTGATTTATAAAAAGGTAAGGCATATATAAGATCGTGAATCTACTTCTACGAATCTCCACTTGCGTGCTGTGTACTTTCTCCGAGAGAGAAAACCAGAGTGCCCGGGGAAAATGGACGACGCTATTATGTAATACTCGGGAGCCGGATAGTACTTTTCGCAACAGGTGGGAAAATTGTCGTCGCTGACCAAATTTATCGCGGACGCTCATGGGCAGCCAACTATTATAATTCCACTGCAGTTTGAATTTAAATTCAGTCGTTTAGTGGGCTGCCTATGGGACGCTTTCTTTTTGCCAACAAAAATTGTGAAAACAACAAAAACACAGATTTCGCTACCCTGTTTCTCGTACTGCAACAGAGGAAAAGTAAAAGAAAGCTAGCAGACGTAAACTTTAATAAACTTTAATCAAGACCACAATTACTTGTCGCAATCGGGAAATTAGCAGTCAAGAATTCTTCGCTGAAACATGGCCGAAAATGACGTTTCTTGCAAAATGTGTGTTTTTTGATGGCAATTAAATAACTTCGAGCAGGAACTTAATATTGATGGAATATTACTTGAAATTTGCAGTACATGCGTTTGTTGTCCAGGACAAAGTCAAAGTATAAATATTTGGTTTTTCAATCAATCAATCAATCAATCAATCAATCAATCAATCAATCAATCAATCAATGAAGCTTTATTAAAAAATACATAAATAGGTAACATGGTGTCCTTTCACTAAAGTGCTCTTCCAAGGAGCCATGTAAAAATACAAAAACAAAAGAAATTAGTTAAATATATATACAATCCTATCATATTTACAACTACTTAATCTTAGTATTAAATTTGAAAGTTAGAAAGTTTATTTTTGAAAAGATATATTGAAGCCTGACTTCTTATTTCATCCGGAAGATCGTTCCATAACACAGCCCCACGGTAGCCGAAGCTCCTTTTACCAGCCTCCGTTCTGGGTCTAGGGGTGAACATACTGTGCGAACTACCTCTAAGATTGTGAGAGTGGACTTCCGAGGTAGGTTCAAAAATAGTATTAAGCTCATTGGGATATAAATTATTCACTGCTTTATAAATACTTGTTGCGAGCTGTTTAGCACGACGTTGGTCAAGAGTTTCCCAACCAAGACTGTGTAGTATATCAGCTGATCTTACGTCATAATCGGAGAAGGTTATTATCCTACCGGCTCTGTTTTGCAGTTTTTGGAGTTTTTCAGAGAGGGTTTTACCTAGGCAGCCCCAAACCTCACTACAATAGTCTGAGTAAGGTAACACTAAGGTTTTATACATCAGGATCAATGTGTTTTGGGGTACAAAAGTTCGAATCCGCTTTAACGCCCCAAGACTTGCACTTATCTTCTTACAAATGGTTTCAATATATACTTGCCAATTTAAAGATTCATCAATTTCAAGTCCCAAGTATCTATAAGAATACATTCTTTCTATAGACTGTCCATTAATTTGAATGTTAAAGCGATAATTCAGATTACTTAATCTCGCTTGGCTTCCTAGGATTAAGAATTTTGTCTTCTTTACATTCAGAGTAAGCTTATTAGCCCTTAGCCACGTTTGCACTTTTCTAAGTTCGTTATTTAGTTTAAGCTGTAGGTCTTTTGGATCGTTAGAACTAACAGTTAAACATGTATCATCAGCATACATCATAAGGGACGATGTAGAGAGGCAGGCTTGAAGATCATTAATATAAATTAGAAACAATAAGGGCCCAAGCACCGATCCCTGAGGAACCCCACAAGTAACAGGTAGCAAGCTAGACAATGTGCCATTAATACTTGTGCATTGTTTGCGACCTGTTAGATATGATCTAAACCAATTGATAGAATTAGGATCTACGCCATACATCTCAAGCTTCTTTAATAAAATTGGATGGTTCACGGTATCAAAGGCTTTTTTTAAGTCTAGTAATAGAATCCCTTTATCAATATTTTGGTACCAATTGTTGGTAGATATTAGAAGAGTCGTAAGTGTTGAATGTAATGGTCTAAATCCATGTTGGGAACTAGACAATAGATTATTATCGATTAGGTATCCATAAAACTGAGAGAAAACGATCTTTTCAATTATTTTACTGACAATCGGTATAAGATAGATATTGGTCTATAATTATCAGGATCTGATTTTGTGTCTTCTTTATATATTGGCATTACCCTAACTCTTTTCCAATCATTGGGAAATACCCCATTTCTTATGGATAAGTTTATTATATGGGTTAAGGATGAAAAAACAATTGGCGAAGCTTCTTTTAATAGCTTGCATGATATCTAAACCAGTAGATTTATTTACAGGAAGTGATTGGATCAAGTTGTACACAATTGTATTATTTGTCTCAGTGATAGAAAAATTATTATCGGTAGTGGTAATATATTGCTCAAAGTTAGAGTTTCAGGTGGGAACATTATTAACTAATTTAGGTCCAACTTGAGTAAAGTGGTTATTAAAAGCATTACTTATGTCACTTGAAGAAGTGTAGTTACAGTCACCAACTTTAATGCTGCTTATTACATTGGTATGGAAATTTTTACCCATAAGCTCATTCACACCTTTCCATGTGTTTTTAATATCACCAAAGTTATTTCTAAAGTAATTGTGATAATATGCAACTTTGGCATCTTGTATACATCTGTTAACATTATTTCGTGCACTTCTATACTTGGACCAGTTATGTTCAGTATCATGTTTACTTGCTATTCTTTTCAGTCGGTCCCTCTCAAACATCAATTTCTTAAGTTCTGGGGTTAACCAAGGAGAGTGCTTATTTCGAATTTTTCTACTCCGTTTGGGTGCATAAATATCAGATATTTGCAGGAATATAGTTTTCCAAGCATCCCAAGCAAGATTTGGATCATTTTCATACTCCTCAATGATATGCCACGGGGCTAAGCTGAGATCATATCTAAATGAATTTGCGTTGAAATCTCTAAATTGCCTGCTGCGAATTATTCTAGGATCCTTTCTAGATACACAAAGTTTACGAATTGCATATACAAGTGAATGGTCACTAATACCAATGTGGCAAACTCCAGATTTCACATACATTGTTGGATTATTAGTAATAGATCAATCAATTGTAGTTGA